GACTTAAATTCATATACCGTTCCCATTTGTTGCCTATATTGTCGGTATATAGCACATGAGAACCCAAAAAATTTATTTCAGCCAGCATTCATAATTGCGTTGGTTAGAAATCAAACTTTCAGTCGATGCGGGACAATATTTTTTTGGCTGCTCAAAATGGTAAACACTAAGTGCTGAACAATTCTAAGCCTACCAGTCAGCGTACGCGAAAAGCATCATTATTTACCTATGTAATTAGTCCTAAGGGCCCCTTAGTAGTAGATCATAAGGGCCCCTTGCGAACTATTGGTAAATCCTAATCAACAAAATATCGTTCAACGTCACGGTATTTAGAGTTCGCTTGGGAAAAGTAAAATTTCAACAGAGATTCACACTATTCTTGATTTTGATAATGAAGAGTAATCAAATGTCCTTCTGTCTATTTAAGACAATCTGGGTTGGTTATGAAGGCAAAGACAGGATCGCAAAGGAAATGACAAAACATATTTTGTTAAAAGATTGCCTTGGGAAGATTCAATTATTAAAACAAGTTGCAAGATGGCAACGTTTCCTTTACTGGTAACAGCGTGCCTCATTATACCTGTGGACATTGATCCGAGATTGCCACTTTAATTATTACATGGCATACGATGACATGTAGTAAAGTTGCGTGAGAGTAGTTTGTAGCTTAGAGAGCATGAAGTGCTTTTTTAATTAGCCAAGGGAGTCCATGTGTCTAAATGCAAATACCCCTGAAAGAGTGATGACATTTCTTAAATGTAATTTTGTTTTTTCCTTTATCTAAAAGTTGGAAGGTCATGATTCCTCCTCACGTAAGGATTCTTCTATCATTTTGTTTCTTGCCGGGGGTTTTCGAAAATATTTGACATTTAATCAAACCTGCATGTAAAATGGAACAGTTTCCTCTAATCATCCCCTTTTGTATTTCCCTTTGAAGTTTGGTGTTGGCACATCTCTCCGCACGCACCTTACATTTGCAATTACTAATTTACCAAATGTCCAATTTTTCGTATTTAGGTAATTTGAGTTAATTTTAAATTCCCCCTCCAAAATATTGATGTTGAACTCATAAGTTCATATTTTTATCTCGATTACAAANTGTGTCACATACACCAGATACTGGTAACGCATTAAGTCTAGTCAGTAGTGTTAACGGGTTAATTAAGGGTTGAGGTCACTCTTGGCGGGGGAGGAGTGGTGGGGAGTAGAGGGCTGCTGATTACATTGATGAAAATCTGTCTACTTCAGCTTAGAACTTTTAGCCGAAACTTACAATTCCCGGCGAAGACATTCCCGGATTAGTTTTTTAAGATTCCTCGCATCCTTAAACGGGCTTCGCCGAAGCAAAATCAGGCAAAAGAAAAAAGCGTATCTGTGACATGCAGTTTAAATACGATAAAATTTTCAAACCGTTGTAGAAAACATTATTTTCAAGGCCAATTTCGCACGTGAGAATTTAGCGACCCCTGTCGCTTCTCCCCCCTTTGTTGAAAATACTTCGAGATTCATTTAAGTTGTTTCAATTGAGTTTCGCTTTTTACAGGCCAATTTTCATCTTAGAACTTCCTTTTAGAGTTTATACTAAACATTGTTGAAAGAAAAACTAAATACGAGTTTAGAAAGAAACCCGACACTATTGTGAATTTCTTCCGAGTTTACGATCTGTTGGAAAACCCGAGCCGTTGGCGCAGTTAAAGGTTTTTGGTTGATTGATAAATTCAATGATCTTAAGTCAAATGAATAAAGGGGGTACGTTGCTGAAGAAACTGTGGTGCTGCGTCGGCGGAAGTAACCAGAGGACGAGAATAATCGTTTGCTTTTCAATATTCGTGGAGTTGACTGCCTCATACATTTAATTTCACTCATTAAAAAAGATGAAACCTGTAATCACAAATGATACATTTTGTCACAAATAGTACATATCTTTCGAGGCAGAAGACTTGGAGGTTGGCTTCAGTTATAAGCAGGAAAAACTACGTAAACAAAGACCGTCGCGTTAGAACGCAGATAATAAAAAGCAACGGTTAGACGCAAGTAATTAATATTGTCCTATCAAACATCACATTTCAAGGTGAAATGGAGTTGAGTCTTTCAAGGACATGCCCCCCTCAAATTTGGGTTTTACCTGTTGAAAATAAAAATAAACAAACAAACAGAACGAAACAAAAATGTAACAACTACAACATCAACCAGTAATCGAAAAATCCTCTAAGAAAACTTCTGTTTTGATTGTGTGATAACCAATGCCTGCGCAGAAACGCTGGAAGTGCCTTTTCTAAGGTAAGACGACGACCGTGACCAAATTTTATAAGTGGGCTTTTTACCGAATACCCATTTCATGAGAAAATCTATACCTTTTATCTCCCCTTGACTCTTTTCTGAACTTAATAATGTTTTTTCTCCTTGCGTGGTTCATGACCTTAGACGATTGTTATTGAAGAGGCACAATGCGACCAATACAGCTTCTTTCATTTTCTCAACCAGCTTTCGGATGATCACTTTTATACGACTTCCTCCTTAAGCCTACTCGAAGCCAATATTCCATTTTGACCCCATGCACTTTAAAAGATAGAATTAAATGCAAATGAGATTTGACACGGGCGGTGATTGAGTAAAAGCATAGATTTGCGATGATTTTAAGGGAGTTACGTCACGCCATGAGTTTGCGCACTGATTTCTTCCAGTTTGACACTGATATTTGTGAAATCGCTGTTGATCACCAAAGCAATCTACTGTTGTCCAGTTAATAGCGATTCTCTGAGCGGATAATTCTTGCTCCCATCGTTTCCTGAGAGCTTCTCAAACACGATCTGATAACAAACATGAAAGCTGGCACCAATATGACAGCTTTATTCCTAATAATCATAAATACCCAAATAAAAGGACAGTGATGAGAGAGATGAAGCAAAAAAAAAAAAATTTGATGTGAGGAATACGATGCACATCAAACAGAAAGGGGAGGGAGGAAATGTAATACATTTGATACAACTGCTGGCAACAGACGATTTCCTGATTACATGTCTGTACTCTAGGTGCCTGGCACAGGGTGTGCTTATAGGTAGGAATGCACTCTGCTCGTACAGAGTTTCAGTTCCTTCGATCTACCTGAAGGCGTGCTTGTGAACTCGCTGATCCTGCAGACAATTTCAATAACACATTTGGAGGGCTGATTCCCTTGCAAGTAAGAACCCCATTCCTCGCTGAATTATTTAATTTTTATTACTGTCTGATTTTTTCATCCGTTAATTTTTTAAATTTTTCCAGTCTGAAGCTATATCACAACCGATAATTGCAGCCTTTACTGAGTTGGATCAAGGTTCACATATCAGAATGTCTTCTGCTTCCCTAATTTCCGCTGTACTGCTAGTGGCGCTTCTTATGATGACAAACCTATTTGCTTCGAAGCATGCAGCCCCGATACCTCGCCATAACGACACAGGAGGCTCCCTGGAAGAGATGCAAGAACAACTTGGAAAGCTTCAATTGGAAGTCAAAATTTCAAAGGAAAACGAGAGAGCAGGAATATGTAAGTAAAATTATCTCTCTTGTGCGTAGTCGGGTGATTATTTTACACCTTTTTTCGCAGTTTTGTGTACATCTACCTTTTCCTAAGGTAGATTTCATGACAGATGTCGAATGATAAGAAATTAAAAAGCTAAAAAAAACAAAAAAATACAACAAAAAACAGACAAAAAAATCAAAACAAGAAAACAAATACTAAAGGAACTTTGCGTGCGAAGGAAATTGAGTTTCCAGCTTTTTGTGGGAAGATAAAAGAAAATGCCCTTTCATTTAACCTCTATGTTCGATAGGAATCATTAATCACTCGCAAATGTTTGTTGATAATATATATAAAAAAAAGGCGAAAAACAAAATAAAAAAACAGAAAATAAAGAAGCTTTGCGTGCAAAGGAAACTGACCCGGTAACTTTAAAGGGAGCAGAAACGTGACGCTCGTGTCTTTTTCGGGATAATCAAGCAGGCGATGAAATCCACACCTTGGGATATACACGGCATAATTAACTCAAAATGTCGTATTCTTTGGATCTGAGACGTTGTGGAATGGATTGAACTAACATATACAAAAACTTGAGCAATCCTAGAAATGTTTTTCTCTTTTTTGGCGTTACGTGGTTTCGGTAAGCATAAATGCACAAGCTTGCAGAGAGGGTGTTTATTCTATTTGTTACATCACCGCTTTTAACAGGTCACCGCGACCCTTTTTAGAAGTATTTTCATTTGGCCTCCTAGAAGCTCCTGGATAATTAAAAAAAAAAAAACACTCAATGCTCTCTAAAACACAAGTGCGCGGACGCAAATGTATTAATTGCCTGGTGGTTAATATCTGGTAGAAATCTCCGATAGATTTCCGCCGGTTTAATGAAGCACGATGTTACCCAATAAAGATTATGTTGCTCATCTCGCAGCTAATCGCGATGAAAGTCGAATCGCCGAGCGCATTTGAAAAGTGAAGCGTAGTAGTCTTGGATCTCTTGGGCAGTGTATTGATCCTTTCATCAAGAAAATCTATGATAAAAAGTTGCTAATATTCGTTCATTAAGAAAATGTAAGAGGGGAACTCATTAGTTCTCTTTTGGAATAATCGACCTTTTTTATGAACGCACAAGCGGCCTTGCATCCAGTTATGATCATATCCGTTATTTTTTGAAGCTTTGTCTGGAATGAAACTTACAAAGGTCATTAGGTTTTGCCAATTGTGTAAATTGTATTATTGTACGACGACATTCAAAGCTAGGAAGAAGATGGGTTAGAAATATCTCCTAAATTCAAGAGATGTCCCTTAAAGAAAAAAGTGTTAACAAGTTTCCCTCTCCTCTACCGAAGAAAAAAAGACATGGCTTTGGTAAAAAGAGAAAAAAAAAAATAGAGCGGCAAATTAAAGCCAAGAGACGCTTCAAACCCTTTCAAGATAAAGGTTCAAATATAAGGTCAAATTTCTTGAAGAGCGCTTATCCTGGTCAGATAA